GAAACAAATCAGGGATCAACGTCGGACCTCCTCCGCCAATTCCAGGAGAGTGTACCCAGAGTGTGGGCTGAGACCAATCCCCCAGGTCTGACAAAAGGTTACTTACCTGGGCTATATCATAGAAAAAGGCAACCGGGCGCTGGCGCCCAGCCAAGTCCAAGCAGTACTATAGATACCCACCCCCACCACAAAACGCCAAGTTCGGAAGTTCCTTTGGGCGGTAGGGTACTGTAGGCTATGGATTTTAGGTTTCGCCGAAATAGCCAAGCCTCTGTATGCCTGCACAGGAGGAAATCAACCCCTAATTTAGACAGACAGGAGTAGAACAATAGGCTTTTGATAAACTTAAAGCCGCTCTGACCTCAGCCCCAGCCCTGGCCTTGCCAGATATTTCTAAACCCTTCCGGTTGTTTGTACATAAAAAACAAGGAATCGCAAAGGGTGTGCTCATCCAGACATTAGGACTGTAGTCCAGGCTGGTCTCCTACCTGTCAAAAAGACTTAATCCTATAGCCTCTGAGTGGCCAGCCTGCCTTCAGTCCATGGCAGCAACAGCCCTGTTGGTAAAAGAGGTGGACAGACTGGCTCTGGGGCAGGAATTAAACCTAGTGGCACCCCATGCAGTAGAATCACTACTCCGTGGGGCTCCAGGAAGGTGGGTGTCTAATGCCCGCATAGTACAGTGTCAGGCTCTACTCTTGGACCAGCCCTGCATCAAGTTCCTGAAGACTACAGTCCTAAATCCGGCCCCACCGCTGCCTAATAGTGAGCCAGAAGAACCCATACATGACTGTCAACAAATAATAGATGTCATCTAAACTGCTCGACTGGACCTCACCGACTTCCCCTTATGGAACCCGGAAGAGGTACTGTATATGGATGGCCGCAATTTTATGGTCAACAGAGTCAGGTATCAGCTATAGTTACCCTAGAGCGGGTCATCTGGGCCCAGGCCCTTCCTCATGGGACGTCAGCCCAAAAGGCTGAACTTAGATCCCTGATAAAAGCCTTAAACTGGGCAGAAGGAAAGACTGTCACTATTTATACCAACAGCTGTCATGCCTTCACTACAGCTCATGTACATGGAGCAATATATAAAGAAAGAAGACTACTTACCTCAGAAGGAAAAGCTATAAAATAAAGAGGAAATTCTAGCCCTGTTGGAGGCTATATGGAAGCCCAAGACTGTGGCATTAGTCCACTGCAAGGGACTCCAAAAGGGGGATTCGCCAGAGGCATGGGGAAACAGGGCTGCTGACTTACAGGCCAGGCAGGCAGCCATGGGCCAGTGAAACCATTGACCCTCCTTGTAACCCTGCCCGCCCCAGTTCTGCCCCCTACTCCCACGTACTCCTCAGGTGAGAAGGACTTTGCAAAGGAACAGGGTGCCACACAGGACTCCACAGGACGGTGGATACTGCCGGAACAAAGGATCGTGGTCCCCGAGGCTCTAGGACGGGCCCTAGTTAAGGACACACACCAGGCCACTCACTTAGGACAGACCAAACTAACTGAACTACTAAAAGCCAAATACTACATTCCCCACTTACATGAACTTATCAAGGAAATTACTACTCAGTGTGATGTATGTGCCCAAGTAAATCCGGGAGGGAACAGGTCTAACCAGGTAGGAGTGAGACTCAGAGGGACTAGCCCTGGGGAACACTGGGAAGTAGATTTCACTGAAATAAAACCCCCAGCAAATGGCTATAAATACCCCTGGTGTTTATAGATACGTTCTCTGGTTGGTCGAGGCCTTCCCCACTAGGTCCAAGACTGCTTTGGTGGTCACAAAAAAACTATCACAGGACCTTCTTCCTCGGTTCAGCCTCCCTCTAACGCTGGGGTCAGACAATGGGTCGGCATTTACTGCAAAATTTCTCGGGGCCTAGCCAAGGCCCTGGGTATATCCTGGAAAGTACACTGTGCCTATCGTCCCCAGAGTTCAGGACAGGTCAAATGAATGAACCGGACCCTGAAAGAAACCCTTAAAAAAATTTAACCTAGAGATCGGTGAAAACTGGGTCAGCCTGCTTCCTTTGTCCTCCTCTGTGTCCAATGCACCCCCTATCAGAAAGTCTTCTCCCCTTTTAAAATCATGTTCAGCAGGCCCCCTCCCTTACTCCCCAGAACCGCGGATACCATGCATGCGGAAGTCCATAATTATACATTCCTCAAGTCCTTACAGGCGCTCCAGTCTGTTCAATCCCAGGTACACCAGCTCATTAAGGACACCCGTCCCACCCCATCGGACTTCGCAGACCAGCCGACACACCCCTTCCAGCCTGGAGACTCTGTCCCTGTTAAAAGGTTTGCCACCTCCGGCCTCACCCCCCCCCCATTGGAAGGGATCCTACACGGTTATCCTGACCACACCCACTGCACTCAAGGCTTGGACTCATCACATCCACGTCAAGACTGCCCCACCGGAAGGACAATGGAGCATCAAACATTCATCCCCCGATTCACTAAGACTTGTGCACTCTTACCCTTGCCACCCTGATCCGAGCTGTAAATCCCTATCGTCATCCCTCTACTGGTTGGATTAGGTATTGCTGGCTCCACCGCAGTTGGAATATCAACTCTTATCTAACTGTAGACCAAAATTTTAAAACTCTCTCTCAGCACACAGATACTGATTTAAGCCACTTGGAAAACTCCATTTCCCAACTCACTGATCAGGTTGTCTTTGGCTAAAATAGTCCTCCAAAACAGGGGAGGACTAAATTTGTTATTCTTAAAACAAGGGGGGTTATGTGCCCCCCTTCATGAACAATGTTGCTTCTATGCTAATAGGTCAGGCCTCATCCGAGAGAGCCTCTCCCTGTTCAGACAAAATCTCGAAACCAGAAAACAACTTCGAGGGGCTTCAGAAAGTTGGTATCGAAAAATGTTTTCCTGGTCCCCTTGGCTCACCTCCCTCCTTACAGGTCTGGGGGGACCTCTGGCCCTACTTCTGCTGGGACTCATCTTCGGCCCCTGCTTCCTAAACCAACTGCTCAGGTTCATAAAATCTAGGGTAGACTCTGTAAAATTAATGATATTAATTAAGGTTCCTTAGAACAAACAAACAATACTAACCTGCTGGAGGAATCAATGATTTAATTCCTGTAAATAGAACAAGGGGGGAATGTGACATGGCAATTGCCCCGAAAACTGCATGCCTCAACCATACCTCGGCTTTCTGTTGAAACTGCTCTCTGTAACCCTAATGTGACAGGCAAGCAGTCCAAACCCATGCGATCTTGGCCCCTGCAACTTGTAATAAGTAACTAAGGTCTGTATCTTCCACCCGACCCAGACAATGTGTAAACTAATGCTTATCTTGACTTCTGTGAACCACTTAAGTAACAATCCAAACGTCCAAAGTCCCCTGGCCCTAGGAATGTCTGAAGCCCCTCACCCTCACCCCCGCCCAGGAAGTGGTTTACGGGCATAAAAGGTCTTGACACCCTCCTTTTGGGGCCGTGGGTTAGAGAGACCAGAGTCCTCCATGGCCGCTGGCAATAAAGACCCTGCCATTTGGCCTAGGCTTCGGTTGTATCATTCACACCAGGGGCCTCTGGGGCAGTATTTTCTTCATTGGAAAGAGTTTGCAGGATGATATACTGACTTCCTCTGGGAGGCAGCCTGGTGATTTGCTTAATTAAATTTACCCTGGTAACCTTTAAGAGGATGTTAAACTCTTGATTTAACTTTTTATACTGAGCCCTTAGGGAGAAAATACACATATCAGTTTGAAGCAAAGAGTTTCAGGGCATTGAGCTGAGTACAAAGGTTGAATTTTGTAAGTTAGATAAATGGTTAACATTTTAATTTTACTTTCTCAGGATCTTATTTTAATAAAGGAACTCTACTTAGGGGCTTAACAAGAATAGATACAAATGAGATACTTACACCAATAGTTCTCACCAATAGTTCTCAACACCCTGGAGGCGGTGTTGCCTGCAGGGCACATTTCTCAGTGCCTGGAGACTTTTTTGTTTGTCACAGCTGGTTGGGGAGGGGTGCTACTGCCATCTGGTGGGCAGAGGCCAGGGATGCTGCTAAACACCCCATAGCACACAGGAGAATCCCCAAAACATAGGATTATCTGCCCCAAATGTCCGTAGTGCCAAGGTTGAAAATCCTAATCTACACTATAATGTATAGAATAAGGTGAATCCGTGTATTCTAAAATGAAAGGCTCTCCATGTTATACTGTTAGGTGAAATAAAGAAGCTGCAAAATTGTGTGTTCGTGTATATGTGTATGATAAGCAGTTGTAAAAGTAGAGGTAGAATCCTACTGAATTTTTACCCAAGGTACCTCCTGGGTTCATTCACATGAGTCCCCGCTATGACCCAGGGATCATTGCAGGGCCTGTAAGCAGAACAAAGACAGGATAGGCAAGGCCCCATTTTCGAGGAACTTACATTCCGGAAGGAGTCGAAAGGAACAATAAAACAAGTGAGAAAATAGAAAGCAAGTCTCGGCGCAGTGGCTCGCCTGTAATTCCAGCACTTTGGGAGGCTGAAGTGGGTGGATCATGAGGTCAAGAGATCGAGACCATCATGGCCAACATGATGAAGGCCCAACCCCATCTCTACTAAAAATACAAAAATTAGCTGGGCATGGTGGCACACGCCTGTAGTCCTAGCTACTTGGGAGGCTGAGGCAGGAGAATCGCTTGAAGCCAGGAGGTGGAAGTTGCAGTGAACTAAGATTGTGGTATTTTACTCCAGCCTGGTGACGGAATGAAACTCTGTCTAAAAAAAAAAGAGAGAAAACAAAATAATTCCAGATAGTTTATATACTTCCATGCAGCTTGAATTTTTTATGACAAACAATACATTCAATTTCTGATTAAGAGTCTAACTCCTACCTGGACAGCCAAGGTGGGAGGGTCACTTGAGAGCAGGAGTTGAGACCAGCCGGGGCAATACAACAAGACCCCATCTCAAAAAAAAAAAAAAAAAAAAAAAGTCTTACTCCTCCACTCCTTCATAGTGAATCATTACCTGCCATGGCGTAAGAAGATGGATTCTTTCTCTCTGATTTGGTGGGTGGCTGGGGCTCTCTGATTTGGTGGGTGGCTCTCGTGGGTGAGCCCAGCAATCTGGAAGAGAAAACACACCCCGGGGAGGTGGGGAGAGGCACAGGTGAGGTCGGCTGCACCACATCTAGGTGTCACTGCTGCTTCCTGGCAGACATGCAAACACATCAAAGAGAGACCTCTCAAGAGAGGCCAGGAGCCTTCTGGAGGTTTAGGCATCAGAGACAAGCTGTGTAGAATTTCAAAAACCATACTTTTTTTCTTTTTTGAGAGGACTCAGAACCTTTCACCCAGGCAGTCACACAGCAAAGGACCTAGGAAATGAGCCGTGGTAGGAAGCAAGATGTGAGCCTCTTTGGCCTTCCTGGCTTCCCTGAGTTTTCCCCTTCAGACAGAGCAGAAAGCCAGGGGATCAGTGGGCCACCACGTGGCTGCTGGGTGCCTGCACTCCTCGGCTGGTGCCGTGGACACTGCTGGGCAAGCACTGGCCATTGTCGGCCCTTCCCCTCACCTGAAAATGACAGGAGTTGGTTTAGACCTGGGCTCTAATCAGAAGTCTCTGAGATCCTCCAGGGAGGCAGCGGAGGCCAGGGGAGACTGCCCCGTCAGACAGACTTGGTGCAGTTTCCTGCTCTGGTCGTCGTAGCTGTGGGCTCTGCAGCACATCCCCCACCCCTCTGTGTCTCCGCCTTCTCGTCAACAAAGTCACAGCATGGCCCAGAAGAGTGAGAAAGAGATGGCTGACACACATGGGGCCCTGGGAAAATGTGAGTTCCCACAGGGGGGCCTCAAAGGTCCGAGGGAGCACCACGGCCTCACCCCCTCCTGGCCATCTCTGAAATTCTTGTTTCCTTCTGGGAGAGACAAGGTGCCTCCAATACACCCACTCTCCCCACCAGAAAAAACAGCTCGGATAAAACTCGACAAGATAAAACTCGACAACAAAAAAGGAAACAACGCGATGCAAATATGGGCAGAGGGCTTGCATAGGCCTTTGATGTATGAATGGCCGGTAAGTCACCACCAGATGCTTAGCATCACTAATCATGAGGGGAATGCAAATCAAAACCACAATGAGATCCCATCTCATACCCATTAGAATGGCGACTACTACCAAAAAACCAGAAAGGAACATGTGTAGATGATGATGCGGAGAAATTGGAACCCTGGGCACCACTGGGGGAAGGTCGCGTGCTGCAGCTGCTGCGCTCCAGCCTGGGTGACAGAGTGAGACTTTGTCTCAAGAAAAAAGAGAAAGAAAAAGAAAAAAACGAAAGCCTGTTTGGCTGAATATTGGTTCAAAAAAAAAAAAAAAGTTGATTGGTGGTAGATGCAGTCAGAGAGGTGGGAGGGTTCTGACCCCTCCTAGGGTAGGGATGAGGATTTTATTCTAAGCGTGACAGAAAGCCCTTGGAGCCTCTTAAGCTAGAGAGTAATACGGAATGATGGCCAGTTGAGGTGGCTCACACCTGTAATCCCAGCATTTTGGGAGGCTGAGGTGGGGGGAATCACCTGAAGTCAGGAGTTTGAGACCAGCCTGGTCAACATGGTGAAACCCCATCTCTACTAAAAAATACAAAAATTAGCCGGGTATGGTGGCACGTGCCTGTAGTTCCAGCTACTCAGGAGGCTGAGGCAGGAGAAGCCCTTGAACCTGGGGGGTGGAGGCTGCAGTGAACCAAGATTTTGCCATTGCACTCCAGCCTGGGTGACAGAGCAAGGCTGTGTCTCAAAAAAAAGAAAAAAATTAGAGAGTGATATGACACCGAGGGAACACCTTATCCTGAATCCCAAAGCGATTACCCAAAGACATGCAGTTTGCATGAAATGTTTCATTTCCACTCCTCTAGGCAGGGCATCCATTCTTCAGTGTCCCCAGGCTCACCATTTCCTTTTGCATTCCTTGGCCCAGTTTACATGTTTACATCATATGTCTGGTGGCATGCAAGTCTCCAACCCCCTAGTGGTTAAGAATAAGAATCTGAGGTCCAAGAGCTGAGCAATTCAGCTCTATGTGAGTGACTCAGCTCTATTTTTGATACTATTTGAAATAGTGGGGAAAGACTCCAACCCAGACTCTTGACTTGCAGTGTGTCACTGTTCACTTCAGCCCAGCCACTTCCCTTGGTGCACCATCCATAGCCATGACAGTTTTCTCCCTTGTTAGAAACTATGCACCTACCCAGACCTACAGGAAAAAAGAGCCTTGTGGTTACTACACTAGGTCAAATGGGCTCTGATATTTTTTATGTGTACACTATTTCATCTTTTTTTGTTTTTTGATACGGAATCTCCCTCTGTCACCCAAGGTGGAGTGCAGTGGTGGGATCTCAGCTCACTGCAACCTCTGCCTGCCGGGTTCAAGTGATTCTCCTGCCTCAGCCTCCCAAGTAGCTGGGACTACAGGCGCCCACTACCACACCGGTTAATTTTTTTGTATTTTTAGTAAAGACGGGTTTCACCATGGATGGTCTCGATCTCCTGATCTCGTGATCTGCCCACCTCGGCCTCCCAAAGTGCTGGGATTACAGGCGTGGGCCACATTATTTCATCTTAATGGCATGCAGAAGTTATTTTGTAATGTTTTCACTTTATTTCCCGTGCCTCTTTCCATGTGGACAGGCCCCCTGCTGGCCATTCTAACACACACAACATTTCACAGTGTATTCAGAGTGTGTATTCATTCTGCAACTACACCATTGCCTGCATACCCTTTGGTGCCCACTTCCCTATTTCTGGGACCTTAGATTATTTCCATTTTTTCCCAGAACTATGAACAGCACTGCTAGAAGTGTATATTATTTAATATGTATTCCTTTTCGTGTATTTCTTTGGCTGAGATCGTTGAAGATTAACAGTTAATCTGATCTGTTTTTTCAGAGATTAAAGGTTAAAGAAGCTGATTTTGGCTTCTAGCACTTTTGTAATCCTAGCACTCTGGGAGGCTCAGGCGGGTGGATCACCTGAAGTCAAGAAGAGTTCGAGACCGGCCTGGCCAACATGGTGAAACCCCCGTCACTACTAAAAACACAAAAATTAGCTGGGCACGGTGGTGGGCGCCTGTAATGTCAGCTACTCGGGAGGAACCCGAGAGGCAGAGGTTGCAATGAGCTGAGATTGCCTCACTGCACTCCAGCCTGGGAGAGGAAAAAGAAAAAAAAAAGCTGATTTTTTTCAGACTGCCACAATGTACTTGACAAAGGCAGCGCAAATCGCGCCTTCAGGGCAGCGCTGGGGCCTAAACCCCGGTACCCCCTTTTCAGAGTGACCTCGGCCCGCTGATTCCTACTTGTAATATGACTGTGATACCAGCACCAGCTCCACAGGGTCGAGGCCAGATTCCACCAGACGATTCGACCCTGGGACCGTATGGGCGCGTTCCGTGAAAGCCAAGCACGATCCCATGTTCAGAATGGTCCCTGGTCCGAGCGCTACGACCCACAGGGCCAGGTGGCCGGCCAGGTGAAATTCCAGAGAGCTCCCTGGATCTCCCGCCTGGGAACTGTCCCTCCCAAGTCCCCCGGTCCCCGACCGGGGATCACTCACCCTCCGACCAGCGCACGCCCCAGTAGGAGCCTCAGGGCTGGGACCCGCGCCTCCCAAATGGCCTCTCTCGGAGTTGCGTCAGGTTCTGGCCGCACAGGGCCGCGCACTACCAGGCGCCTGGCGAGCAGGAGCGCTGCGACTGCGCCCTCGGGGACCGGGGACTGGCGGCTACCCAAGCAGCCCAGGGCTTGCCCAGCGCCGCGGAACTGCAGTCCTCTTTCAGCCGCACGCTTGCCACACAGAGGCCCCGCCCCTCCCCACCCCTGAGCCCCGCCCACATCTTCCTTGGCCAGTGCGTCGCCTCAATCCGCCCCCGCCCACGCCCAGGCCCCGCCTCCACACCGGCGTCCCGCCCCACCTTCGCGTCTGCCCCTAAGCTCCGCCCACTCCTTGCCCCTGAGGTCTGCCCCGGGCCTCGCCCAGCAGTCCGGGATTGAGGAGGACCCTGCTGGCTTCCGGAGACGTGGAAACTGGACTGATACAAATTCAACAAATTCAGCGCGGGGATGCTGTGCCGAGAGGAGGGACGCCCCTGCCCTGTGCCTCCCCCTCTCTCCCGGCAGGTATTCCAGATTATAGAATGAGATCCGTGGTGCAAATGAAAGAATGAGCCGCTAATATGAGCCCATCAGCCTGCTGGGATCTCGGGGGAGTTACGCTGGTGAGAGAAGCCAGTCCCAAAGGTCACTCACCGACAGCGCCGCTGGTGTACTGGTATTATGCAAGATTCCCCTCTAAAGGTCACGCACGGATAATTCATTCCAAAAGACAAAGGCGAGAAGTGCAGCTCATCAGCGGTGCTCAGGAGTTAGGGAGGCGGGTGGATGTGGCTATAAAAGCGCAACCCAGAGGGTGCCTGTGGAGGAAATCTGCGTCCTGAGGAACGCAACACGCTATTGGGACACCGGACCGTCCTTCGTGAGATGCCACCATCGGGGGAAACCGGATACAGGGTGCATGGTTCCAAAGAAAATGCTCGATTAAAGGAAAATGGTCTAAGGCCAAGGAAATGCCCAGAAAATGGAAAGTCTTGGAACCAGAGCCGCTGAGGGGTTGAGGGGGGCGGTGCTGGTGAAGTTAGGGTGGATTGTCTCTTTTTCCAGCGCTGGCTGGCTTCCGCCACCCCATTTGGCAGCCACCTGCCACTGTGACCTCCCCAAATTCTATACCTTGATTTCTGGTGTCCCAGAAATAGAGACCAGAAACGTTGATGTCCCACTCCAACAATAGAGCAGAAGGAAGGAAGGCTTTCCCTGTGTTCAGAATGTTTCTAACAAAAATAACTGCAACTTTGATCGCACTTCCTATGAGTCGTTGGGACTTTCCCTCTCAGATATTTATTGGGTCATTTTTAACTCACAGTGGCCTTCCTCATTCTAAGGTGCAGTGCTGGGATTGGTCTGTGTGTTGGTGTTCTTCTTGTCTTCAGAGGTGAGAATGTGGCCTCTCTCTGAGATGCCCTCTTGTCCCTGAGCTCCTCAGCGGGTAACAGGCTGCCCATGAGTCCAGATCCTGGGGGCATTTTTCATTTAGGAACGGAACATCAGAGCCCGGGAGCATTGGCACCTGCGCGTCCATCGTGCGAGTCTGTGATGCAAGGTCACCACCTTGTGGCAGCAACGAGAGATCACGACGTGGGCTGAGCAAGTTGCTCCTTGCTTGGATTTGGAAGCTGGGCTGGCCGAGTTTACTGGGTCTTTTGGATGATGTAAGTTTTGAATGGTGATAGATTCCAGGACAGTTCACTAGGAGCTAATGGGGCTGAGCAGTTACTGCAAACAAATGAGATGTGACCATAATTGCATTATGAGTTTAAGGAGGAGGTCTTGCTATTGAAATGAGATAGCCAACTCCAACGACTAACATCATCTCTGGGGGCTTCCAGATTCTCACTTTTCATTTAATCCCTAGCCTTAGTGAAATGCAAGAGTAGGAGTGTCGGCATTCTGGGCAGGGAGGCAGGTGAGGCAGGTACACATTTCCTCTTCTCTCCAACGCCTATATTTCTATTTCTGAATAAAACGGACCATCGTGGAGCTAAGGTAAGGCTAACCAAACTTAGCTGAGCCACCTCCTGAAGAGATCATTGTTTTTGATTTTATTTAATGAGATTTCTTTTCCTTCTGCTACCAGCATCCCCATTCCTTTGGAAAAATGCTTCCTTAAAATAATATAAATGTCTTGAGATTTTTTGGTTTTGTTTTTGGGTAGCAAAATTTTTATAACATGAAATTTGCTATTTTCACCATTTTAAATGTACAATTCAGTGGCATTAATTACCTTCAGGGTGCTGTGCAACCATTACAGATATTTATTTTCAAAAGGTTTTCATCATCCTAAATAGAAACACTTGGATTGGGCGCGATGGCTCATGCGTGTAATCCCAGTACTTTGGGAGGCTGAGGTGAGCAGATCACCTGAGGTCAGGAGTTTGAGACCAGCCTGGCCAACATGGTGAAACCCCAACTCTACTAAAAATACAAAAATTAGCCAGGCGTGGTGGTATACACATGTAATCCCAGCTACTCAGGAGACTGACACAGGAGAATTGCTTGAACCCAGGAGACAGAGGCTTCAGTGAGCTGAGATCGTGCCACTGCACTCCAGCCTGGGTGACAGAGCAAGACCTGTCTCAAACAAAAACAAAAACAAATAGAAACACTGCACTCATTGGATAAAAAATTCCCTTTCTTCCCTCTTTCCACTCTCAGTAGCTTCTAATCTACTTTCTGTCTCCATGAATTTGTCTATTTCATGTATTTCATATAAGTGGCATCCTACAAGATGTGGCCTTTTCACTCAGTTTATTTCCCTCAAAAACCTTGTTGCTGAGTTTTATCCATGTTGTAGCATGTATCAAAAGTTCATTCTTTTTCATGGCCGAATAATAGAAAAATGTGTATACTACTTGGCCAACTTGGTGAAACCCTGTCTCTACTAAAAATACAAAAATTAGCCAGGCATGTTGGCGGGCACCTGTAATCCCAGCTACTCAGAAGGCTGAGGCAGAAGAATCACTTGAACCCAGGAGGTGGAAGTTGCAGTGAGCCGAGATCTAGCCATTGCACTCCAACCTGAGCGACAAGAGCAAGACTTCGTCCCCTGCCAAAAAAAGAAAAGTGTGTGTACCAGGCATTGTTTATCCACTCATCTGTTGTTTGACTACTGTGAATAATATTGCAATGATTATTGGTGTACAAGTATCTGTTTCAGTCGATCCCTGTGTTCAATACTTTTGGTTATATGCCTTAGAGTGGAATTGTTGGTATTACGACAATTCTATGGTCATCCTCTGTTTAGCTTTTTGAGGAACAGCCAAACTGATTTCCACAGTGTCTACACCATTTTGCAGTCCCACCAACAATGTACACAGGTTCTAATTTCTCCACATTCTCACAAACATTTATGTTCCTTTTTCTTTCTCTAAATTATAGCCATCTTTGCAAGTGTGAAGTGGTTTTGATTTGCAGTTCCCTAATGACTAATGACTCTGAGCATCTTCTCATGTGCTTCCTGGCCATTTATATACCTCCTTGCAGAAATGTCTATTCAAGTCCTTTATTGAGAATTTAATTGGGTTGTTTATTTGTTGTTGAATTGTAGGTTTTCTATATATATTCTGGATACTATCAGAGACAGGATTTGCAAATATTTTCTCCCATTCTGTAGGTTGTCTTTCACTTTCTTGAAAATGTCCTTTGATATAAAAGTTTCACTTTTTTTTATTAACTCCAATCTCCCTATTTTTTTTTGTTGTTTCTTCCTGGGCTTTTAGTATCATATCTAAGAACCCCTATTGCCAAACACAAGATCATGAAGATTTACCCTTATGTTTTCCTCTAAATGTTGTATGATTTTAGTTCTTATAGTTAGGTTGTGAATTATTTTTTGCATGAAGTAGAGACCAACTTTAGTCTTGCATGTGGAAATCTGTTTCTCCCACATCATAAATTAAAGAAACTATTATTTCATCATTGAATGGACTTGGCACTCTTGTCAAAAATCCTTTGGCCACAGATGTATGGATTTATTGAGGAGCCCTTGTACATCTCTGGTAGCTTTTAAGATTCTCCCTTTATCTTATACAGGCATATCTGCCTTATTCTGCTTCACTTTAGAGTACTTCCACAGATATTGCATTTTTTTTTTTAACAAATTGAAGGTCTGTGGCAGCTCTGTGTCAAGCAAATCTATCTGTATGTCATCAATATTATCAATTATTATATCATGATTCTTCAGAAAGGTTATATCATCTATTGACACCTCTAGCATGGGTTGGTGACACATACAACAGATACTGACACTCTGTCTGTCACCAAATTGCGTGTGGGTTGATCAAAGCCATCTTTGAGTGAGTCTAGTTTCCCCTCTAGTAGGACCTGCCTAGGTGGAGATAAAATATTTTTTCACCACTTACATTAATCTAGATTTAGATATAGTTGCCCTCCTGTATTTGTGTGTTCCATATCTGCTGATTCAACCAACCTCCAATGTAATATATTTGGAAAAAAAAGCAATACAACAATTTTTAAAAATCCTACAAGTAAAAAATACAGTGTAAGAACTATTTATATATCATTTACATTGTATTAGGTACTATATGTAATCTAGAGATTATTTACAGTATATGGGAGAATGTACAAAGGTTATGTGTCAATATTATGTCATTTTATATCAGGGATTTGAGCATCTGTGGATTTTGATATTGGTAAGGGGTCCTGGTCCCAGTCCTTCATGAATACCCAGGATTGACTGTATATATTTTTGGATGTTAAACCACCTTGCAGAACTTTAAAAATAATGTTGTCAAGTAAACAATCTTCAGGTGAAATAGTCCATATCAGTACCATCTTTCAAGTATTAGTTGTTTATCAGCCAGATTACTATTAAAGCTAACATAACTTTGATCAGACCATGTTTCTGAACAATTCATATGCCTAAACTGAACATTAGTTTCTCATTCTCATGCAACACATAGCCTGTTTTTCTTTACACATTGTCTAATTTTCCATACATCCTTGACACTTCATGATTTTAAATTCCTATGGCTTTACTAGTGTATAGGAAATGTTTTCTTTTTTTTTTTTTTTTGGAAATGTTTTCAACTGTATAATAGGACTTGTGAAAATGGAGAGAATGGTAAATGTAAGACGAAGTGTAGACACTAAAATCTTAGACTCCAACCCTTATAACATATGGCCTTCTTCTAAGGAGTGTAGGTTCCTGTCTTAGTCTGTTTTGTGTTGCTATAAAGGAATACCTAAGGCTGAGTAATTTATAAAGAAAAAAGGTTTATTTGGCTAATGACTCTGAATGGTTGGAAAGTTCACGATGGGCATCTGCATCTGGTGAGGGTCTCAGCCTGCTTCTACTCATGGTGGAAGGCAAAGGAGAAGTGGAGCATGCAGAGATTACATGGCAAGAGAGTTAGCAAGAGACAGAAGAGGGAGGTCCAGGATTGCTTCTACCAATCAGCTCTAGAAGAACTCACTCACCCCTGAGGGAGGGCATCCATCTATTCATGAGGATCTGGCCATGCAACCTAAACACCTCCCATTAAGCCCCACTCCGACATTGGTGATCAAATTTCACCAGACTTGGTGGTGCTCACCAAGCTACTCCGAAGGCTGAGGTGGGAGGATCGCTTGAGCCCAGGGGTTCAAAGTATAGTGAGCCATGATCACACCACAGCACTCCAGCCTGGGTAACAGAGCAAGGCCCTATCTCTATTAAAAAAAAAAAAAAAGAAAGAAAGATGAAACAAATTTCAACTTGAGGTTTGGAAAAGATAAACATCTAAATCAGAGTAGTTCCTGACCTGAAGCTATTATCATATTACTGATGTATATCATGTAGAAATATGTCATTAACAACCAATACGCCGGGTGTGGTGGCTCACGCCTGTAATCCAAGCGCTTTGGAAGCCAAGGAGGGTGGATCACCTGAGGTCGGGAGTTCAAGACCAGCCTGACCAACATGGTGAAACCCCGTCTTTAAAAAAACAAAAACAAAAACAAAAACCAACCAATACGTGGGTCTAGAAAACTTGACCCAAAAGTGGCCAAAGCAAGTGCTTTGAAACCAAAGTGGCAAGAAAAAAAAAATCAAACTTACTGGTTTTCTTAGTAAATAAGTCTTGAATAATGCACTATAGAGATCCTGTCTTATTGATACAGCTAGAGACAATAAAAAGTTTTATCACATAAATAAATTTTGCCTTTTTTTTTTTTTTTTGAGACAGGGTGTTGCTCTGTCACCCAGGTTAGGGTGCAATGGCTCAATC